TTCAAGGGAGGTTAATGTAATTTATCCTAAAAAATTATTTTCTTGCATTCATTTAATTAAGATGAGAATTTTGTAGGAAAAAAAACATTGAAAAATTTAACTTTATAATTTGAAAAATATGAAAGTTGCAAGAAAAGTACATAATTTACAAGAAAATGATTAAAAGGATTTTCTTAAGGAAAATACGTAAAAGGCGAGGGGGATTTACATATAGGTCTTAATAGGTAAAATTATTGTCTAATAAATCCTATGATAATTAATAACATTTTTATCGAAAACTATTAAAAAATATCATTAATTGTTAATTGTTAATTTTCAATGTCAGCTTGAAAATTATCACAAAAAAAGTCATTAATTATAAGTTTTAGCGACAATTTAGAAAAATCATTATAAAAAAAGTCTAATTTTAAACTTGAAGTAACAGTTTGAAAATTAATCATAGAAAACGTTACTAATTATAAGTTTTAGCAATAATTTATAAAAATCATGACAAAAAGAAGTCACTAATTGTCAATTTTTAATAACATGCAAAAAATATCAAAAAAATTTATTTTTAGCGACTATTTTATCAGTATTTATTTTTAATAGGACTTGATTGAAATTAAGTTTAACAATTATGACCTATTAGTAGTTTACCAAAAGGAAACCACAGGCATGAAAATAATTTCTATCTCAAAAATCAAAAAAGACAAATAGGAATGATATCATTGGAGCTATAAATCATAGGATTTTTTATTTTTAAATTTTATTTTTATTTTTTAAAATTATTACCATATTGTATTACTAACTCTTCTTTTGTTTAGGTGTTGTATGAATTTTTTTTTAGAAAATATTTTTTTATATTTAATGGTTAGTGATGGGACAAAAGTGGGGGTGAATGTCGAGCCAGTGGCGGCAATGGTGCTGGCCCTGGCCGTGGCGTGGTAGTGGTATAACTATCACTCACTTGATTCACGCCCACGGGAAGTCACTTTTGACATTGAAACAAAGTGCTCTTTTGGGAAGAAGGTGGTAAAAAGTTAATTTTTTATTAATTTTGGGTTATATTTCTCACATAATTTATTTATAAAAAGGCAAAATAAGTTAAAAAAATTAAAAAGTCAATTTTTACCAACTTCTCAAAACACTCCAAAAGTAATGATTTTTGATAAAATTGAAATTTGAATTTGAAAATAAAGTGGTAAAAATTAAATGTTGAACATTTTAATATGAAAACTGTTTGTTGTTTACTGAAATTTAAGTATTTAATTTAATTAAATTTTTTGATATGTAAAAAGGTTGAAATTTGAAAAAATTTAATTTATTAAATTTTCGCTTATACTTCATATTTGTAGTGATAGGTTAGTAAATGCCTAACCAGATAGGGGTGATCTCTAAAGGTAGACCTTAAGAAGTCAAGACTTTTAGAGGTCACTTTTAAGTGGTGCTACATAGTAGAACCACTCAATCATGCAGTAAAAAGTCGCAGACTCACACATCAGAAGGGATTCAAACCCACACTCCGAATAGTGGTGTTGGAAAATAATAGGTTGTGTTTTGTAGAATTTTAGAATTATGATTTGAAAATAGAGTTATATTTTGAGTTTGTGAGTTTTGAAATTATTATTTGAGTGTAAAAAATTTATTTGGTTATGAATTTTGAAAAAAGTTTGAATTGAGTGATGTGACATATGATATTGAAAAGTAAGTGTTTTGAAAAGTGTTTTGAAAAGTAGATGTGGAATTAATTTTCTAAAGTTATAACCAAACAATACACTCAAACTAAGAGATAAAATTAAATTTTAAAAACTCTACCAAACATAGCCATAGTTTTTCAACAATTTTAATGTGAAATTAAAATAAGACTCAACCGCCAGTTGAGGTGGATCCAAATGGTTTTGTATTCTCTTAAATGAGAAGGTTACAACACAAAAATAATTAATCAAAACCATTAAGTTGTGAATGAGAATTGTCTCATAAAGTAGGTATCAATAAAAGTTAGATTTAGTCTTAGTTTTGACTGAACCTAAGCTTGTGCTTGTGCTAGTGCTTGTGCTAGTGCTTGTGCTTGTGCATGTGATGGGTTTGGTCTTTATCTTGGACTTAGACTTGAACTTGGGCCTAGCGTAAAGACCTTAATTTTTGTAATTACTATTAAATCCCTAACCTTGAGCTTATTTCAATAAAGCCCTTGAATTTTCGCTTAATTGCATTTTAAATCCTAAAATCGGGACGCATCACAAATTAATTCGAGTAAACCTTAATCGATCCCGGTAGATTAATAATCACCTTTAAAACCCTATTATTAATTATTAGATCCTATAATTATAGATTAATCACTTTAAAATCTTAATTTTCAGTAACGTCGTTTTCGCTCGGTTTCTCGCATTTCTTTGTGCTTTAATATAACGGGATCCGAATTTATTCTTTTAACTATTTACTAATATTAGTATATTAATAACGTATATCAAGATTTCATAAATTTAGACTTGTTCCCTATATACTTCTATTTTATTTCATCGTAAACCTTAATTGTAATATTTTATTAATTAATGTACTTATGTCTATTATTTTATATTTATAAACACAAATATCTCATATATATATATATATATTTCTTGGAGCCAAGTAGTTGGCTATGTAATGGATGAAAGGGCATTGATGGCACTTTGACAAATTTTAACTTGGGGAACTTAGTCCCTAAAAAATCTCCCAATCCTTTCTCTATATATATGCACATTTCTCCCCTCCTCTTTTTACACATTTTTCAGCCATGCACTAGAGGAGTGAGAGAGAGTGATCTTGGAAGAAAGAGAGAGAGAGAGAGAGAGAGAGAGAGAGAAAATAAGAAGAAAAGAAGAATTGTGTTGAGTCTTATAAAACAAAGGTAAACCTACATCACCTCTTCTCTCAAGTTCTTTTACCACTTATTTTTTCCCTCCTAATACATGCTATTTGTATATATATGTCGTAATTTAGGCCTACACTTTTGTATAAATGTGTATTAATCAAGAAATGACGTGCTGCTCATTCTTTCTTAAATTTCCAGCAATAATTCTTTTTCCTCTCTTGAATTTATTTTCCTATTAAAACTCCATAAACTGAAAATCTATTTTTATGGGGTAATATTTAATATGTCTAGAGTATGTGATATTTTTGATAGGACCTAAGGATGCATTTTTATAGTTTAAACAATTTTTCTAAGTTTGTTACTCACAGAACCAAAAAAACAGTCAACTTTCTCTATTTTTATAAAATTCTAGAAAAATAATCTTGAGTCCAATTTTATGTCAAAATCTTAATCTTGGTGTTTTGTTTCAACTAAAAATTTTTTCAACTCAAGAGAGTGAGGGGTTTGAGAGGATAACCGATTTGCGTAACGGTCAACGAATCTGGATAGATCTTGGTAATTTTGAATTATCTTAAAATCTAAAATACCTATCCTACTTTTGTAAATTGAGTTTGAAATTAGACTTATTTATCTACAAACTCACATGAGGCCAGGTACTTAGGGCTATAAAAGTATTTTTTTCATAATTATTTTCAAACTGGTTCAAATCTGAAAATCTGAAAATTTGTGTTAATATGCTCTTATTTGGTTTGCAACTCTTATATTATATGTTTCTTGAATGTTTTAGTCTTAATATGTAATTTATGATAAATTGTGAATTAGCTTTACCATGAATAAATTACTTGTGTAGTTTAGATTCGTAATTATATTGACCATGCTTTGCTATAACTGAGAACATAATGCACTTAATAAAGGGAAAATCAAATGGAATGGTAATGAGTTGCGATCATTGTATTAAATTTTATGAGATAATGAACGATGGATTCAAGAGAAATTGATAAATTTTTTAGACATTTATTTATTTATTTATTTTACCAAATTAATTTTTATTATGGATCTGGATGATGATCATGTAATTGATGGTTGTTTTTATTTTTATTAAATTAGTTTTTATTTTTTCAAAAGTCAAATATGGAGACAACTTTGATATCATTATTAAAACAGTCCATTAAATCCAAAACATCCAAAACTAAAAATATTTCATATATTAAATATATCAATTACACATTAAAAGCTTGACAATTACTTATTACATAATCATCATCCAAATTTAGTAAAATAAATAAACAAATGTCTAAAAGATTTATCAATTTTACATAATTTTATCTTTGATGGGTAGAAATTATTTTTAAAAATTCAAAAATATTTTTTTGACATTTATTTTTGTCAAGTTAGTTTATATTTTATTAAATTGACAGTTTTACCCTTGAAATTGAGTAATGATATTTTCAATTGTTCTTATTTAAAACAAGATTCAAAATTCAAGGTCAAATGTGTCATAATTGAAAAGTCATGGACCAAAGTGACACGAGTCCCAAACTATAAGGACTATTAGTGTAATTCGCTCTTTTTTTTTTTAGTTTCGCACTAGTAATTTTAAGAATTTCGTTTGTAATCTTCAGATAGTTTGGGTTTATTTCGTTTGGATACATTTTGTGGCTTTTGTTTGGCTTCATTTGAGAACGTTGGTTTGACTTCAACATGTATGGGTTTATTTAACATTTTCAATTAGATTTTTTTGGGGTACAGTTGAATTGAATTGTAGTTATGGCTCAATGTCTAAATCAAGCAAGTGTTGTATTACAATATGTAAATGAAGCAGGTTTTGTATTACTCGGAAAAGATGTGTGCTCAATGTGTAAATGAAGCATTGGACACCAACCATTTTGTTGAATTACCCAAGGCCAAAATATGAGTAGCGTATGAAACCTGCTTACTGTGACATGAACACCAACCATTTTGTTTAATTACCCAACAAAACCTGCTTATTGTGTGTATATGGGTCTGCCTCACCAACCATTCATCTCCCGATTCAATTTAAAATACATTTATGGGAGTAGAAAAATGACAATTGAAAATAGATCGGAATAACATCCACTGACAGAATCCACGTGAAATATAGATCCATGCCTCTCACAATCCACATCATCCACATAGACAACACACAAAATACAGAACAAGTTTTTTTTATAACATTCATGAAATTCTAGAAAACCTAACAAGTCAGTCATTTAGCTGATAAAGTAGAAAAATACACAAAATACAAAACAAGTTTTTGATTACATTCATGAAATTGGCCAAAACCTAACAAGTTAGCCATTTAGATGATAAAGTACAAAAAGACACAAAATACAATGACATAAATCATTGCCTTGAAATTCTTCTCTATCCTTTTAAGCCTTCTACCATGCTCATAAATTTCATTGTCCACCTCACAAAGCCTTGTCCTTAGATCGTTAAATTCTTTTGTTCTTATAGCTTTCCAAGGACTAGCATTGGAACAGATTGTGGAGGTAATGTCGTCATCATCATTATCTGCGAACTTGAAGTAATTGTAGTGGTTCCTTATTACTCTACAATGCACAAGAATCAGTTAATCAAATCACACAAATAAATTTCTAAATACTAAAAGATTAATTTCTATAATAGATACTTACATATTTTGATGGGCAAATAAAAAACAAACGCCCTTGATTTCCATTCTCATTGGTTTGTACAATATACATGGCAGTTGTTCTCCCACAATCACACAATCTTGGTTTTAATCTTATATTGCTATTGTTAGTAGAAGAAGAAGCCATTTTTTAATCTGCATACAAAATACGAAAGCCATTTTAATTTCTTCCTGATTAATTGTATGTTCCACATTGAGACAGATCCCAACTAGAAAGATTAGGTAATTTTAGTTTACTCTAAATTGTTAAGCTTTCTAACTAAATTTCACTTCCATAGGGACAAAGCATAACACTACATTGGAAGAAAAATTAAATAATTAGATAAGTAGGAACATAAATTATATACATGAAAATTTTGGGCTGGCCAAGTATGACATCATCTTCTTTTCTTCAATATGACAAATAATTCATAGTTGTATTTTTCGCAATGAACACTACAAATTCTCCTTCCCTTTTAACATATACATGGATTTCTTTCAAACTTATTATTTGATTTAAATGCTTCCATAGAGTCCCTAAAAAGAGTAGGTTATGTCTATTTTTGAATCCGAAGCTTTTGGGTCATTCCATCCCATAGAGCAGAGTTTCAAAAGCCTCATACTGATGCATAATGTGATGATGAGCAGAATTTCAAAAGCCTCATACTGATGCATAATGTGATGATGAGCAGAATTTCAAAAGCCTCATACTGATGCATAATGTGATGATGAGCAGAATTTCAAAAGCCTCATACTGATGCATAATGTGATGATGAGCAGAATTTCAAAAGCCTCATACTGATGCATAATGTGATGATGAATGTAAACTAATATAGATCACTTAGTTGGAATATTATAAACTACCTGTAAATTCAACAAGATGTTCTTTTAATCAATAATTGTAAATTTAAAGCAAAACTCGTTTTTCAGATTTAAAGCAAAATAACAATCAAATTTCAGATTTAAAGTAAAATAACAATTATGAATTTAAAGCAAAACCCAGATTTCAAATTTAAAGCAAAATAAAAATTATAAATTTAAAGAAAAACCCAAAACAGATTTATGAACTTTTGAATTTAAAGCAAAACCCAAATTTCAAAGAACAAACTCAACTAAGTTAGAATAATTGATAAAGAACATATTTCATCAACAGATTTCCATATTTCAAATGCACAAAGTTCAGAAGTTACAATATTCATAATGCCAAAACCCTAACAATCATAGATTCATAAGCCCCAAAAACATTTTCTCACAATTAAAGGCAACCCTAACACAAATTGATGGCAAAATCCAAAACCAAACAATCACAATTGACAAATTCGTAAAGAAATTGAAGCCAAAACATAAACCCTTGTTTTGTCGAATTTGGGTTTACCTCAGATTCATTTTCTTCTAGTACGTAATGATGAGCTTTCGACATCGTTAGCGTATGAGAGGCATCGCGCCAGTAGGTGAGGAGTTTTTTTTCATCGTTTGTCATTTGGTGTTCACTGTCGTTCGTCGTTAGTGTATAAGTATAGAGGGAGGTTTAACAGAGATGAGATGGAGGTTTAACAAAAATGAGAGAGATCTGGGATGAGAGGATTTCAGCAGTGGCGTTAGCATATGAGTAGAGAGGGAGGTTTAACGAATGTTTAACAGAGATGAGAGGGATGAGAGGTGTAGAGACCCTAATTTTTGTAATTACCATTAAATCTCTAATCTTGAGCTTAATTCAATAAAGCCTTTGAATTTTTGCTTAATTGAGTTTTAAACCCTAGAATTGGGAAGCATCGCGGATTAATTAGAGTAAACCCTAATTGATCTCGGTAGATTAATAATTACCTTTAAAACCTCGGTACTAATTATTAGACCCTATAATTATAGATTAATTACTTTAAAATCTTAATTCCCGATAATGCCGTTTTCACTCGGTTTCTCGCATTTCTTTGCGCTTTAATTTAACAAGACCCAAATTTATTATTTTAACTATTTTATAATGTTAGTATATTAATAATAAATATCAAGGTTTCATAAATTTAGACTTGGTCCATATATACTTCTATTTTATTTCATCCAAACCTTAATTGTAATATTTTATTAATTAATGTACTTGTGCCTATTATTTTATGTACATAAATACAAATATCTCATATATATATATATATATATATATTTTTCTTGGAGCCCAAGTAGCTAGCTATGTAATGGATGAAAGGGCCTTGATGACATTGATGGACAACTTTGACAAATTATACTTATGGAACTTAGTCGCTAAAAAATCTCCCAATCCTTTCTCTATATATATGCACACTTCTCCCTATCATTTTACACATTTTCAGCTATGCACTAGAGGAGTGAGAGAGAGTGAGAAGAGAAGAAGAAAAAGAAGAATTGTGTTGAGTCTTGTACAACAAAGGTAAACCTACATCACTTCTTCTCTCAAGTTCTTTTACCACTTATTTTTCCCCTCATAATACATGCTCTTTGTATACACATGTTGTATTCTAGGCCTATACTCTTGTATAAATGTGTATTAATCAAGAAATTGAGTGCTTCTCTTTCTTTCTTAAATTTCCAATAGCAATTCTTTTCTCTCTCTTGAATTTATTTTCCCATCAAAACTCCATAAACTCAAAATCTATTTTTCATGGAGTAATATTTGGTATGTTTGGAGTATGTGATTATTTTGGTAGGACCTAAGGATGTATTTTTATAACCTAAACAATTTTTCTAAGTTTGTTACTCACAGAACCAGAAAAATAGTCAACTTTCTCTATTTTTAAAAAATTCCAGAAAAATAATCTTGAGTCCAATTTTATGTTTAAATCTTAATCTTAGTGTTATATTTCAACTAAAATTTGTTTGAACTCAAGAGAGTGAGGGGCTTGAGAGAAAAACCGATTTGCGTAACGATCAATGAATTTGGATTGATCTTGATAATTCTGAATTATCTTAAAATCTAAAATACGTATCCTACTTTCATTAATTGAGTTTGAAACTAGACTTATTTATCTACAAACTCACACGAGGCTAGGTACTTAGGGCCAATAAAAGTATTTTTTCATAATTATTTTCAAACTGGTTCAAATCTAAAAATCTGAAAATTTGTGTTAATATGCTCTTATTTGGTTTGCAACTCTTATATTCTATGCTTCTTGAATGTTTCACTCTTGATATGTAATCAATGATAAATTGTGAATTGTTTTACCATGAATAAATTACTTGCTGTTTAGTTTGGATTCGTAATTATATTGACTATGCTTTACTATAACTGAGAACATAATGCACTTAGTAAAGGGAAAATCAAATGGGATGGTAATGGGTTGTGATCATTGCAGTAAATTTTATGAGATAATGAATGATGGATTCATGAGTATGATATAATGGAATGTGTTTCATTTTTGTGAAATCTTACGCAAGTGTGTTTTCGAACCCTAACATGGCACAAGAGGTATTCTGGCTGCTTAACGAAAATGAAAGGCATAAGGATGGCAGTGAGGGTCTCACACAGGGAGAGTATCCTTGAAAGCCCGTTCGCTTGGGGCAGACCGTGATGTCACCACTCAGGTATGTAACCTAGGTGCGTGGGCATCATTAGTAATTGTGCGGTAAGCGATACACTGGTGGTATGCGGTATGCAATGCATTGATATTGTATTAACCAAGGGGGAGTCAGAATTGCCCATGGCTAGTGTTAGCGGTTGGGTAGAAACGGCATCCCACAAAGAGTTGCCTAGAACTAACTTAATTGACTGTTATTCATGAAAATTATTATTCATGAGAATTGAAATTAACTGTTATTCATGAGAACTGAAATTTATTATATGCTTTGCTTAATTATTGTTTTTGCTGTGTGTTATAATCATACCATTATTTTTCATGTGTATTTGGAATAGGAAAAGGGTCGGGGTGTGTGTGTTTACTGGGCATTCCAAGCTCATGGAGTTTTATACTAGGTAGAGGCAAGTTTTACACCGAGAACGGAATCCCTAAAAGCTTTGAGGAACCGTGGCTGCCTTAGAGATTAGATTTTATGTTTCTTGTATTTCGGATAATCTTTTGTATCAAGAAACTGATCTGTATCTAAAGAGTTGAAGAATTTTATCTGTAACTATTATTAATATTTTCTTTTAGTGTAACTATTTGTATTTTGTGCTTAAAAATGTTGTGTATCTGCTAGTTAAACCCCGATGTATCGTTGTATTATATTATCGATATTTCCAAAATTTAGGGTGTCACAAGAGGGACCTGGGATCAAAGGAGATAGATGATGTCCATGAATGCTTTTGGAGTCTGAGAAGGACAGAGATAGAGAGAAGAGAGAAAATTTGATGTGCGTGAGTACAAAATAAGAGACAGATTGGCAAGGTTTTCAGGCCATTCGAGCCTTTGTTTTTCGAGCTACAAAGCATTAATCTATAATGAATGACATCTACCATAAATACAAACTTGATATAAATTTGATTTGCACACAAGCTTCATCCAAGAATTCATATTTTATTATTGATGAATATTTTAGTTTAGCTACCAGACATGGCAGCCATGGCAGCAACAATCACAGAGCAATGGAAGAGGAATGGCACAAGGGGAAATAAAACGCCAAGAGGAAATACCTTATCCACAACTCAGTGGATAGTCCGATTTGCACACAAGCTTCGTCCTCTTCCACTCCGATCAAACAGCAGTAGCGACGCCACAAAGAGACGGTTCCGCTAGGTTACGAACAGACTAGTTCAAAATCAGTGGAGACTTTGATTGCTCTGCGGCACACAAACTTTCTCCTCTCCCACTCTAATCAAACAGCAGCAGCGACCAGACGGCTCCGATAGGTTACGACGACACCATGCTTAGCTTTCTCTCTACACGGTGCTCCGCTTTGTTCTTATTTTTTGTTTTTGAAATCAGAACAATTGTGGGTGTATCCCGTGTAGCAGAGCAGCGAATTCATCAATTCGAGCCACTCTCGAGCCTCGCCTTTCGAGCTACGTAGCGGGGTCGGTTGACTAAACGTTTTAGGTGAATAAACAAATAATTAACCTAATATTGTTTATCTCATTCTTTCACTTGCAAAACATCAAACGACACAGCACAATACAGAACAAAGGTATGTCTTCTCTTCTTCTTCTTCTTCTTCTTCTTCTTCTTCTTCTTCTTCTTCTCCTCTCTCCCCCTCTCCCTCTCCCTCTCCCTCTTCCTTTCACTCTCTCGCACCGCCTCCTCCTTATTTTTTTCTTCTTTGTCTTCAATTTCATTCTCTTGTTCTTCATTTTCAAAACTAGAGCTTGTTGCTTTTTCTTCATCTTCTCTCTTCCTCTCGCTCTCTCACGCCGCCGATTGAGCGCCACCGATGGCATTCCCTCAAATGGTGTTTCCCCTTCGTCTTCTTTTCTCACTGTGCCGACCGCAACCGCCTCTCTAGTCGCTACCCTCTTCTCTTCTCTCTCTGATATTCTGAATTTATGTAATAATTTTTGGGATTGATTTTGGGGCTGCGATTCTATTTAGAAGATAGATTTTGGAACTGCAATTGTATATAAATATTCTGAATATATAGTAATAAATAAATAAGACGGATTTTGAAATTGCGATTCTTAGGATTGTGATTTTGTATCTATATAGATATTATGAACATATAATACTATTCCTCTTACTTTGGTTTTTTGCATGTTGAATTTCCATGATTTTGTATCAATAAATTTTTTATTTTTTATTTTTTTTTATTTTAATTATGGTTGCTGGGTCCCAACTAATGAAGACAATTGCTTGTCTTATTTAATGATTTTTTTTTTTATTTTATCATTTAGGAACATTTTTTTTTCCTCAAATAATGAAAATTGATTATTGTCTTATTTGTTTTATCATTTTCAGATCATGAAAAAATTGATTATCTTATTAATTTATGTGGAAACTTGATTGTGTTATTTGATGAAGACAAACTGATAGGGTGTTTTTTTTTAGACAATTTCATTATCAGGGAAGATTGGTTGGATTTAGGTATAGGGTGAGGTTTTGTACATTTGAAGGTGGAATTGTTAATATAAACATAAATTTCATACCCTAATAATAATATTAATGAAAGAAAACAAATATTCCTATATTATCAAATGTTGTTTGTTTGTAGGTTTTTTTATTTTATTTATTTATTTATTTATTTTTTGGGTATGAAAGAGTAAACGAAAGTCCCCGAGGCCCTTCTTTTTCTTTTTTAATTTTATTGTTATTATTATTATTTTTTACTGCAAAGTCCCCAAGCCTTCTTTGATACAAAAAAAATAACCATTTTACAACCGAACAAAACTTGGTGGAAAAATAACAATATAATGAGGGCTAAAGAAAAGATGCGTGGTCTACTGATATATTTAATCTTTTCCATTAACCTAATTAATTAATCAATTAATCAATGGGGTTTTGTATTTAGATTTTTAAATTCCCTATGCTTTCAAGCCATTTTTAATCAAATAATATATGGAAAATTGAGCCACATTTTTGTTTTGTTTTATTTTATTTTTTTTGTGAAGAGGAGGGGGTTTGTCATATGTGGTGAAAGTCCTATAAAGAACAAGAGAATCTTTTAAGGAAATGAATTAGAAAAACAAATTGATAGACCAATGTTAAGTAAAAAATTGTAATAGGATTGATTTTGTTTGATTATTTTAATGAATGGAATTAAAGGAAAAGATTGTTAAGTAAAAAGTCT